CGCTTTGCGGTGCTCTTCTACGCCATGCCATGCCGTGCTTTACAAGCATCGCGTACCCTTTCGGGATCATTGCCCTGCTCGACATCCGACTGAGCGAGTAGAGAGGGGATCTGCGTCATTGTAAGGGATGGGAGGGAGGGGTAGGATGTCAGATATGACGCGCGCACCTAGCTTGTCGTCCTCCCCCTCCCCCTCCTCCTCCTCCTCCTCCTCCTCCTCCTCCTCCTCCTCCTCCTCCTCCTCCTCCTCCTCCTCCTCCTCCCTCCTTCTTCTCTTCCTCCCCCAGACACCTGGTGATCTATTCTTTCGGGGCACGGACCCCCGACCTCTCGAACGCTACGCCAGGGCCATTGTTTCACCTGCGCCGTTTTGTCGACAGTCCCGGCCCCAAGGGGGCGGAAAACTATAAAAACCTCGGTCTCGATTTTTCAAGACGCTGGACGTCGGGGTCATGCGCGCCATCGGGCAAGCCCCTGGGCGCACGCTGAGGGGCCAAGGCCGCCAGAGGCGGGGGGAGGTGGCGACATCCGAACCCTACGCCCACCAACCATCGACCCTCCCTGACCAATAGGAGGCGGGTAGGGTTCGGATTTCGCCATTTGTTCGACGAATTCCGAACCCTACCAACGCCGCCCATCGGTGTGCCTGAATCGTGGATCGGCGAGGTTAGGGTTCGGAGTTCGCCCCTGGGCGCACCGTGAGGGGCCAGGGACGCCAGAGGCGAGGGGCCGAGCGGAGGAGCAAGGCGGCGGGCGCGGGCGAGGGAGCGGTGGCACGCTCGCGAGGGCTGCTCGCACACGCCAGACGATCTGAGGGTGGCCTCCCACAGGAGACACCGATGACGCGCCCCGCAGGCATGGAGGCCGAAATCGGGAGAAACAAAAAAAAAAAAACGCAAAGATTGAACAGAAAAACATGTCGTCGGAGATCTGGGGAAGTTCGATCGGCAGGGGCCAAACGGTGTGATGTTTTCAATCTGGCGATTTTCCCCCGAGTTCGGCATCCGGGGCCCACCATCGGGCCTCGGGACCAATCAAAAACAGATGCGGGGCGAGAAACTGGCCTCGGGGAAGGGGTCGAGACCTCTATGTAGCGGGAGCGCGATTCCTGAGTGTCGAGGACCGGCATCTGAATAAACAGTGAGGGGTGGTAAGTTGCAAGGAAGTCACAAGCGAGAACGCGATTCTGCAATACATTGCCAGGAAGTATCAGGCGGGAGCCGCGATTCGGTGGTAAATCGCCAGGAAGTCCAAAGCGAGAGCGCGATCCTTCAATAGATTGTGAGGAAGTACCCGGCGGGAGCCGCTGTTGCTGCAAACCGGGAGCCAACGACACACTTGGACCCTCAAGACTTTCCCTGATAAAAAACCAGGCGCGGGCCCCAGGAGGGGCACTTCAATCGAACAAATATAATCTGCACCAGGCGAGGGGGATCAACAATAATTATTCTTCAGAAATGATAAGTCAACAGCAGCAACAACAACAGCAGCAGCCACAACAACAACACCAACCACAACAACAAAAGCAACAACAACAACAACAACAACAACAACAACAACAACAACAACAACAACAGCAACAACAATCATTGTACCCTCATGCGCGATGTTTCCACACGAAGCATGCGACCATCATGATACATCCCCATCATGGGGGATTATTGTTCTATAGCGGGGCCCGTTATTCCCATTCCGAGATGTCCCGCCCAATGAGGTCTTGCAAACAACTCCTCCGAGGAAACTCAACATATCCCGCCTCGAAAACGCATGCTCGCGCCTTGCTGCGCCGATGCGAGACCGCCAGTGGAGCCCCAGCCAAGGGTAAAGCACAAGGAAGTATCGAGCGACAGGCTTGCCTTGGTGGGGATGGGGGCTGTCGGCAGCGAGGCAAGGACCTGGCCCTGAATAAAAAGGGAGGAAGTCTCGAGCAGGGCCGCTGTTGTTGCTGGGAGCGGCACCAATGCTGAACAGAGTAGGGCGCTAGTCCAGCGTAAATCAAATCGAAGTCTCGAGCGGGAACGCTGGTTTTGTTGGGACGGCGGTTGTCGGCGGCGAGGAGGAACACCGCCTTGAGCAAGAAGAGAGGAAGTCTCGAGCGAGAGCCGCGGTTTTGTCGGGACGGGGCTGCTGGCAATGAGGAACAGCACCGTCCTGAGGAAAAAAGGAGGATGTCTCGAGCGGGAGCGTTATTCTTGCTGGGAGCGGCGCCAACGCAAAAAAAGAATAGGGCGCCAGTCCAGCGTAAAACGGGAGGACGTCTCGGGCGGGAGCGCTGGTTTTGTCGGGACGGCGGTTTTCGGCGGCGAGGAGGAACACCGCCTTGAGCAAAAAAAGGGTGGAAGTCTCGAGCGGGAGCGCTGTTGTTGCTGGGGGCGGCACCGATGAGAAAAAGAGTAGCGCGCCGGTCCAAAGTAAAACGGGAGGAAGTCCCGAGCGGTAGCGCTGGTTTGTTGGGACGGCGGTTTTCGGCGGCGAGGAGGAGCACCGCCTTGAGCAAAAAA